AAAAAAGCAACATATAGCGCATGGGCCTGGTAGCCCACATAATTGAAAGTAATTTATCACAACTCAACACCAGCGCCATGAATAACGGAATGACTTTACTGAAAATACGTTACCTGATGGGTTAATTAAATTGCTTTTCAGTATATTCATTTTTCACCATCACTAGCTGCGAACTCGTCGCGAGTTTGCTGGTTCACTCAGCTATCGGTTTCCGCCCAATGACGAGGTGTCACGGTAGCTGAAGTATGCGCGCTGCATCCCGACGGTTGTCTGCATAAAATGACGTCATGCTCGAGCCCAGGAACATGCTAACGACTTTTGAAGGGTGTAGGGTTTTATGTTAAGTTAAAGAGATAACTTCACCGACTTTAATATGTCAGCCTTCTCTCACTTTCCCCTGCCTAACCGCGCTAAATATCGTCGAATCCAGTCACCGCAGCAACCTAGCCACCCAAATAACAACAAATCCAGCCTCGCATATCACAACTACCCCTATATATACTTTCTATCTGGTATTAAAGGATTCTGTCAAGTACGAACTGCCATGCATGAAGAATTTAAGTAAGTAAAACTCTTATCTCACAATGCTTTTAAAGTCATATCCATGAAAGACACCACAGCCGATCGCAGGTCCCAGTCCTCGCTTTAGGGAATCGTCCTAACACGCGTCAATATCGCAGTGTCAAAGGCAAGCACAGCAATAGGTTGGTCGGAGTTACGCAATTAAAGTCAGGAACACCGAAAACGCTGCATGTAAGCCAACCATAATGGGGCTTCGCCCAAGAACCTCTTTATCATTATGTACCTCTCACAGTCAAACTGGGACTTCGTCCATTACTTAAACACGCAGCTGCCAGCAACACTTTAAGTCAGCTACGTGACACAACTTGCTGAGCTCCTCACCTATCCATTTGACCAACTCAAGCCACTCACATCTTCCCTAAGCTACCATGGCCCTCGCCCCTGCCACGCCGCCTTCACGCCAGCCCAGGTTACTGGGTTTACTTCCGTGACGCCCACGATGAGATCGTCTAAGAGTACTTCTGCTGTCGCTGAGGCATTGTTCGGAAATAGACCACCCGGAATGGCTACTCTAACCTAATGATCCAAGCCCGCGCGCGATCCTCATTCATCCTTCCCCGAGAACGCATTGAGTTCTGACATGGCAGACACGCGAATGCGAGGGGTAATTGCTGGCAGCCCCGTCGATGTAGTGGCGGTGCCTACAGTCGCTTGTCGGGATGCAGGGAGGTCCAGCTCGTCCGGATCGTACTGTCCCTGGTCAGATCCCACAGACTCCATGTCGACGTCCTGCGACTCCGTACTTCTCACCAGGGGCACTGTTGGCGTCCCCTGTGCGGCGCGTTGCTATTTCAGGAAGC